CTTTCAGTAAACAGAGGTGTCTTTTGCAGTTCATTAGGATCTACTTCATAAAATGTTACCAGTGTGGGTTTAAAAGGTTGAATATGCACAAGTGCTAGTGCAGAAGCTGTATGGTGCTGCCCAGTGGAACAGCGAGAGAGAAGGATGAGCTAACAGAAGTGAGACGTGATTCGGATCTCTTCTAGATTTAAGGGAGTAATAGTTGACTCGAGTGCTTTTAGTGTACTGATGCAGCTTTCCAAATGTTGAAATCATTTATAATATTAAAGATGCTCGATTCTTAAGCGAAACCACCCAGTGCCAGTTTTCATCCAGTTTGCATGTAGGTGCTTTTTTCTCTTTTTCTTTTCAGAATGCAGGTTCTGGGTCACTTGGCAAGTTATTGTCCTGTCAGTGTCTATATGATTGGTAAACCACTCAGCTCCATCTAATTGCCTTTATTACTAATAATCACGAGCTATGCAGCTACAGAGAAACAGCTCTGTGGGTTCTATGCACAATATTTACTGGTGGTACAGAGGACAGAGTGATGGGCTTTGGACAAGGGTGTTGGGGAAGTTTGCCCAGAGAAGCCCCGTCTTGAAAGGATGCTGTGCAGAGAAGAGACAGTGTGGGAGGCGCCTTCAGAGAAGAGGACAGAGTGCTGTTAAGTCCCAGGCTCTGTTTGAGCCTGGACTTGACTGTGGCTGATCTTGAAGAGAGAATGGAAGTGGCAAAGGGCAAAGAGGTAACTAGATCACATCTCTCACCATTAAGTCTTGATTTGGGGGAGGGGGAGAAAGGAAAAAAAATTGTATCTTAGATTCTGAGACATTTCCCCAACATACCCTCCCCACAATCACTGGGATCTGGATTAACAATTTCACAAAGAACTACACTAAAGAACCTTTTAACCACACAGGGGAGTTTGAGCCTTATTTACCATCAAGTTGGTAGTAAAATGATTGTAAGGATACGGAAAAGTAGAAACCCCTCTGGGAGAGCCTGATGCCTTTGTCCCTGTAACTCTTCACATTATACCTGACACAGAGCAGGCATTCAGTATAATAAAAACAGAGCATTCATTGAACCAAATCCTAACAGCTTAGTGGGCTGGTTCCCTAACCTGTCATGCATGAGATCCCAAGGCTCTTGGGGAGTGAAATTCAGACCTCTGAGATGGTGAGAGAGACCCCCCGCACATACTTCAGCATAGACTGAAGAATGGCCAGAGAGCAAGGGCTTACGGTAAATCCTATTTTAAGATTATTTAATTTTTATAAATGATTTGTTTTTAATTATTTAGTCTTCTTCCAGAAGACCTAAAAGAAAGAATATTGTTTCTTAAGGGCTCTAGGACTTTTTTCTTTTGTTCAGTGGTTTCAGATAGTGTTTAACTAATACAGAGACTTCTTTTGTGATTATTTGTGAATGATGAAAATGAGATATTTTTACATCATTTTCTTACACAAACAAAATGTTTAATTTATTTAAGGTATCATATAAGATAGTTCTTAGCCTTTTTGTCATTAACAGTTTATGTGTTTTAAAGGAGAAGAAAGAAAAACTGTAAAAATGTATACATTTATAATAGTTGTAGAACAAAAATGTAATCTATGCTATTAGTTACTTCTCTTCTAGCCTATTGCTGTTTTAGCCACTGGCCTCTCTGGATCTTAAAGATTGGGGATTAGGCCGGGCACGGTGGCTCACGCCTGTGATCCCAGCACTTTGAGAGGCCGAGGTGGGTGGATCACGAGGTCGAGAGATCGAGACCATCCTGGTCAACATAGTAACATTTTTAGTAGAAACCCCGTCTCTACTAAAAATACAAAAAAATTAGCTGGGCACAGTGGCGTGTGCCTGTAATCCCAGCTACTCAGGAGGCTGAGGCAGGAGAATTGCCTGAACCCAGGAGGCGGAGGTTGCGGTGAGCCGAGATCGCGCCATTGTACTCCAGCCTGGGTAACAAGAGCGAAACTCTGTCTCAAAAAAAAAAAAAAGATTGGGGATCCATTCATGTGTTTGCTGGGATTTTTTTTTTCTAAGTGACAACTCCTTCAAGTATATTTAATGTAAAAATGGAATGAATTAAGATTGCATGTTAATTTAAATACGGTAAGAACTCATTATAGTAAGAATGCATATTACTGGCTTCAGATTTACTGATATGGTATGAGTAGTCTTTTTGTTTGTGTATCTACATCTACTTTTATTTTTAGGTAACAGCAACAGAGAAGCTATGATTTATTTCTGAATGTGTAGTTCTTTGTGCAAATGTTAACCCAGATCTCAGTGATGGTAGGGAGGGCATGTTAGGGGATGTCTCAGAATCTAAGATACCTTTGTTTTCCGCCTTTGCTCTCCCTTCCCCAAATCAAGACTTACACGGGAGATGTGATTGCTGGGAAGTGTTATCCTTGGTAAAAGTTTGGCAAAAAGGATGTGTTCAAAATTGCCTCTTATATTGGTGAACTTCAAAGTGTAGATTTATAGACCGGCAGGGAGTTCCAAAATTAATGTAGTTGCAATAAGGGCAGAATTTTTCATTTTTAATAAGGAAGAATAGAAAGTAGAGTGTGGAGAGATTTGCTTCTGAATTACATGTATGCATAATATATATGTAGGTGTGATATGGATTGAAACGTAAAAATATATTTTTTCTGTGTCATGGTGAAAAAAATGTAAATAATGCTTTAAATATCAGTTAACTGTCTTGTATGAATTAATTAAGAGCATATAATAAATGACTACTTTCTCTGTAATTTTGGAGAGTGTCTTTAAAACACATATTTACCAGGAAAATCATAAAAACAGGCTAAATATAAACAGGAATTTTAATAGACCTTGCCCAAAGCGAAAGCTTTTATAATGGCTGTTAGAAGCAAATTGGAGATTGTTTACCTATTGACCTGGAGCTATAGGTAAAAGTACTTGAGGAGGTGCTTATTATAGTTAATGTAGTAGTTGTCCTAAATCAATACTCTAAATTTATATACAGTGATTATCAAGATAAAAAGGTAACTTGACTGAAAATTTCAAAAATGGAGACTAGTATTTTGTAAGCAAATATAAACAGATTATTTTGGTAAGAGTTTTGTTATGTTGAAGTGCAAACAGAAAGTGGCCAGACTTCAGTTACTAAATAGCAGCTATTCTGTTAAGTGTTCGTTAGTCATGATTTTGTTGCTTTAAGCCACAACTGATTCTGTTAAGAAAAAGTTGTTTTCATTACATAATGCAAAATTACGTGCACATAAACTATTAAGCACAGTTGTTACTACTGTGAATATATAATACATATATATTACTTATGATTCTAAAGTTTGGGTGAACTACTTGCAATAGAAATAACAGTGCTTTGGTAAAAAACTACTTTTAGATGTTTTTCAAGTACTGATGTGATTTGTTTATTTATAGTTCGAATATCTACAAGTAACTCATGTATTTCATTTTGTAAAAGGGGGCCTTAGCCTTTGATTGCTTACGCAGTGTTAATATAGATTTCATGCAAGCATTCTGTATTTTTCTCTTTGAAGCAGAACTACCACCGAACGCAAGATCCAGTTTCTGCATTTAATGTGTGTTTTTTCCAGGACTATTTTTCAGCTTCACTCATCGTTTCATGAGAAATCAGTAAAGTTTGTAAATGAGAAAAATTGTCTTATTCTAAAGATTGCCTGTAGTACTCTCAAAGTATATTCTAGATCTGATAATTTTCAGGAAGCAAATAGGACATTGCTGTGGGCGATAAATTTATCAGGATGAGAATTTAGTTATTTTTGACTATTGCTGAGATGTAATATCTCATATTTCAAAGTAGCTTGCTTCCTTTGTTCTGCGGCTCGCATGTTGCCTCGGCAGGTTGGATCAATATGCAGTCGAAGGACGTTTGATCTGTAAATAGAAGGTTCTCTGAATTTTTTGCCTTTTCTGGCAAGATAGGGAGAGAGGCAGGTAGATCATAGTTTGAAGGGCCCATGGTGTGTGGTGTCTGACTTTCATTTATTTGGGGTAGGATACCATATTGGAGGCTATATCTTCCATGGCCGGTGAGCAGTGGTAGGGTCAGCATCGGAGACCATTCTGAGGCTGATGCACTTATCTAAATTGTGTTTTCATATTTCGGATATCTAAAATGTTATATAATTACCAATATTGTCTTCAATTCAGTGCAAAATAGTACCTTGGGAATTTGTTCTTTTCACCATTTTAATAAGTACCTAGACCAGTGTGTTAAATTTGGAATTGATTACTGCCCATGTCATGAAGTATGTATATCCTTATAAAATTTAAATTAATTAGTATTGAAGTAGAACATGCCTATATTTACAAAATCCAGGTGTGCCCAGAGCCCCAGATCGAAGAACAGCAGGACCAAGGCACTGCTCCCAGCTCTGTTAGTTATTGCTCCTGGGTTACGTCTGTCTGGCAGAACTGTACATGAGTAACAGTTCTGCAGTCAGTTGTATATAGTATCTCTTTAATCCCTGCCCTCCCTCAAACTTCATAGATGCTGCCAGCTCTGTGCCGCCAGCAAGGGATAGACACTTGCTGTCATGCCACATTTCAGCTCATCCTCGCCTGTGTTTTTCCATCCTTTTCTGTCTTCTGTCTTAGGTCTTAGTTCTGCTTACTCTGGTTGTTTCTAAGCTAGTAGGTATTTTGTTATATCTCTAAATCGCTATTAGGTACTTTGTATGTAAAGATAGTATTATTTTTAGATACTTGTATTAGATTACTAAACTTTTAAAGTTGTAGTTTGGTATTTAAAGTGCACTCATTATTTGCATTATGGAAATATTTATTAATTCAAAGTAGTCCTTGTGACTAAGAAATGATTAAAATTATAAATTTAAAAGGAAATATATCCTTAACAGTTTATACATATCTGTTTCATAATTTATTCACCACATATTTATTACTATGTATCTGACACAGTTTAAGAGTAGTATGTTTGCTTTACTGTATTCTTATTTGTCTAAGGTAAATTAATTTATTTTTTTTTCTGTTTTTCTTAGACAAAATTGAAGAAGCACAAAAAGAACTTAATGGGGCAGAAGTTTCAAAAAAAGGTAAATTAAAGTCAGCTTGAATATAAACTTTATTCTTGCAGTGATGCCTGTACATATACTTCATAAATGCAGCCTTATTAAATAAGTCAATATGGACATCACAAAATTAGAAATCCCTTTGAACTTATTGATACTTAAAATTTTATGGACTTTGCTTTAGGAAACGTTTTAGTTACATAGCACATTCTGTAACTGTTTCCCCCATATTAATGTATGACTGGTAGAAGTATGAAAGGTTATTGTAGCTCTTTTTTCAAAAAAGTCCTGCTTTAGACTGTCCTATAGCAATGAGAGTACCAATATAAGAGACACAGTTGGCTATGTCCATGCATGTGTCTTCATGTGTGTGTTCATGTGATGCAGTTTTTTTTTTTTTTTTTTGTAGTGACAAAAACCTAAGACAACTGTAACAGCCTGAATACCAGTGAGTGGAAGAATAGTTGAATAATTTGTAATATACTCATATTTTGGGATATCATGCAGCTTTGAAAAAATGTTAATTACTTTAGTTGATGGTGATGACTTATCAAATAAGAAAAACATTGCAATGTACATGTAAAACATCCTATTTTTTTGTGAAAACTAACAAAGTCAAGTGTATATGCAAGTAGATATGTGTGTATGTGTATGCATACACACACACACAGGCTTCTGTAAGATTGGAAAATGTTGGAAAGGATTTATGCATAGATATGTGTATAATAGTGGGAAGAGGAGCAAGGGAAGATGACCCACTCATTTATATACCTTTGTATTATTTTACTAGCTACAATGGATATAATTTTGTATTAAAATTAAAACTTGAAAGGAAAAACTTGGTTTTTAACATAGAAAACAATTGACTATCTTTCCAAATAATATAAAAAAAATAGATGCGATGGAGAAGACCACGTAGGGATGATTAGATAGTGAGAGAATAGTGTTTAAACACTATCTATTAATGAGCAAAATTATGTGCTTTTAATATTGTGAGAAGATAAAGTTCTCTTTATGACATTTATATTCCATGATTTATTATTTATTTTGTCTTGTTATATCTTCAAATTACAGTAGACTGTTTTGACAGAGTAATTTAGCTAATTAGGATTCCAATGGAAAGTCTTTTTACAAAAAAAAAAAAGCTTTTAAATCTAGTTAGACTGCTGAGTAGGTATCTGTAGGGTAAATAATTTCTTGCCATCCCAGTTCTCCATCTCTTGGACCAGCCTGTGAAGCGTCCAAGGTAGTTTGGGGTTGTTCTTAACATTTATGAGGTGCTTTGTAGCACCCCTCATGTCTTCCTTCTCTTCACCCCACACTCTTTCCATGGGAGCTTTGGAAGGGCCATGCATATCCTACCCTCTAATACATTCTTGCAGAAAAGCAAGGATAGAAAGAGTAGAGATGTCTCCATGCATGGTCATGTTGTCCCTTTGAAGGGTTGACTGAAGGTTTCTTCCTCTTAAATGCCTAAGGCATTTATGACACTTGGTTTATAAGAGGCCATAATTTTAAAGTTTTCTTTGTCTAGAGCCAGCCTTTTTTTTTTTTTTTTTACATCTAGTCATGGTTTAGAGCTACTTCAAGTAGCAAAGTAAATGTGAGCTTGTCTTTTTTTTCCTTGTTACTTCTTTGGCAAAGAGTTTTTAGAACAGTGAACTAAATGCCTGATAGTAAGGAGGAAATGGAACAAAGGTTCGAGAAAGAGAAATTGGGTAATGAGGTTCAGAATAATGGATTGGCCTGCAGTTGGCAGACTACATTTATTTAAGAGCTAGGATGAATACCAAGTGAGCATTGTTCTGTGCAGTTCACTGCATAGAATTACTACTTGGCTTTCAATTTCGTACAGAAATTCTGGGCAAATTAAAAATAAAATAGTTTTCTCTTTCAAATGTAAGTAAGGAATAATATCAATTTCTCTTTAACCAGATGAAAAAGAAGTCTGAGTAACAGAGGTATTGAGAATTTTGAAACCTTTTCTTGCTGTTACCTATTTTATTTTAAAGGAAATTCATTTCTTCCATCAAAGAATATACTTTAAAAATATAGTCATTCATTTTAGATTATGGTAAGTCATCTATGATAGATCTCTTTTACATTGTTTTTCTGATGTACTTTCGGTTTTTTCACCCTCTAGGTTTAACAACATTGGCTTAAAAAAAAATTTTTTTTAAATGCTGCTTATAGTTCTAAGGCGTTGTCTCCATTGTAGGTTATGTAGTCTTTAACTTATATGAGGCTCTTTTTCCCCTTCCCTCTTTTTTGTAATTATTAGGACAAGTAACTAATTTATTTTCAGAAGTATCTAGCATAGTAGTAGGGTCTTAAAAGCAACTTGCTCATAAATATATTAAAAAAGACATTTCCTCCTATATTTTAACAATTTAAAGAGAGTTAAATCTGTTTAATATAATACGGAAGCAAAGAAACTGACTTTGCCTGTCATACACCAATAGAATAAAGAAATGCACTAAATTGTGTTAATGTACTTATTCTTTTTCTCTGCTTTCAAATGAAAATCGGATGACTTTAATTTGATTTATTTTGATTTTAATCAATTTGGGGATAAATATAAGGATGCAACATTCACACAATTCTCCGTAATGTCATTATGTTTTTCCTTACAATGCTGTCTCCTGATTCCTAACACACATTGTGCGTGACACTATTTTTAAAATTATTGAGTGGGATTTAAATGAAATAGTGACTGTCACAGGTGTGGTAATGGAATATGATTAAAATTAACTGGGAAGAAATAAGTAGATCGATTAGGAGAGCTTTTATGTGCTGTCTCAAGCTTTAATTTTAATACCTTTTTTTAAACTTGTATCATATAATGCTTGACACATATAAGTTAATATACATAGCATATTAAAGTACAAACCATAAGAATGACATGGTAATCTTTGATTCTCACACTCAATTTAAGAACGGCAATATTGCCAATACCACTGTATCCGTCCACATGCTGATCGGCAATTCACCCCATTGCCTCTTCTGTAGAGGTTTTACTGTCCTCAGTTTTGTATTCATCATTTCAGTCCTTTTAAAAAACGATTATGTCATAAAAGTATGTATCCCCAAATGATATATTTTCTGGTTGTGCCTGAGTTTGAACTTCTAAATGATAGGAAATTATACATAGTCTTCTGCAGCTTTTTTCACTTAACGTTGTTCCCAAGATTCACCCATGCTATTGCACAGAGCTGTAACTTTTCGTTGTTGTAATAATACTGCACTGTATGAAACTGTTGGCCCATTCTTCTGATAGATTTAAGTTATTTCCACCTTTTGTTATCATAAACAATGCAGGTATAAATATTTTTATATCCTGGTGACCATGTGTGAGTTTTCTAGAGCATATATAGGGAATGTGGATGCTGAGCTCTACAAAATGATACTATATTGTTTTCCAGAGTCTTTTTGGGGAAACTTTTTGCATTCCCACCATCAGCATTCAAGAATTCATTTCGTGCTATCAAGTACATAGTAGTTTTAGTCTTCTTAATTTTTTTCTAATTGAATAGATGCTAAATACTCTTTTATTCTGCTTTGACTTTTGTTTCCCTGATTACTGTTGTTAAAAGAAAAACTTTAGACACAAGAAGTTTAACAGATTTTATTTAAGCAAAGAATGATTCATGAATCAGGCATCTTTCAGAACCAGAAGAGGTTCAGAGAGCTGTGCTGAGCAGTGTGAGCAGTAAGCTTGTATAGGCTGAACGTGGAAACAAATTGAGAAATTACCTGATTGGCTGCAACTAGGCATCTGCCTTATTTGGGTAGCATGTGATGAAGCAGTTGCCTTATTTGGGTATGATCTGACCAGTTGGCTGCCTGGGATTAGATTAAAAAGTAGCTATTTGTTACAAAAAAAATATTCTAATTTAGGTTGTATTTTGTTAGGTCTTAAATCAAGGTAAGGAGACAGCCTCAGGCAAATGGCCTCCTGCTCATTTAATTTAATAATGTCAAACATGTCTTCATTTACATTCTCCCTTACCGAAATGCTTGCTAGCATTGTTTGTCCATTTTGTAAAAATTGAGTTCTTTGTCTTTTTCTTAATATATTTTGAATAAGTATCTTTATTCATTTCATGTGCTTTATTTTTCAGCTTAATTTTATACTTCATTTAAAGTGCCTTTTAATAAATAGAAGCTCTTGGTTTTAATATTGTCAACCTATTAATCTCTTGCTTTTGTGATTCATTGTTTGTATTTTTATTTGTCTTAAATTCTCTACCACAGTCGCGCGTGTGTGTGTGTGTGTGTGTGTGTGTGTGTATTTATTTATTTTCTATATTTTCTTCTAAAAGACTTCCACATTTCAGATTAAAAATCAATCTGGAGTTGTTCATTTTTAAAATAACATTTTTAGTTTTTTAATGTAGTGCAAGTTCGTATTTAAGTATCTTTTTTTTTCAAATGGATAACCATTGCTAATATTGTTAAATGTCCCTGAAACATTTAGTATGTTTTCCCTTTACAGTTTCATATTTTGATTTTTGTATGGGTTTGTTTCTTAGCACTCTGTTCTGTTCTGTTAATTTGTTTACCCATGTGCTAATATCACAATGTGTTAATTACTACTTCATTGTCTTCACATACAGTGTACAATAAACAGTGTGAACTATGTACAGTAGGGCAGATTCCTTGTGTTATTTGCCTTCAGGAATGTTTTGACTATTTCTAGTTCCTTGCTCATTTATTTGAATTTTAGAATCAGGATTTTAAAAAAACTTGGTGGAATTTTGTTTGAGTTTCATTGGGGCAAACTGACCATCTTCACAGTTTTTAGACCTCCTATTAAAAATATTGTTATTTCTGATACTTGTGTTTTATTTAGTGTCTAATACTTTTCTCCATATGAATCTTTAATTTTTTTTGCTCTATTTTTTTAGAATTAAGTGTTTTGGCCATTTTAATGATTTATTTTGTACAATTGTTTAGCTCCTGGCAAATAAGAATGCAGTGTATTTTTGAATATTTATTTTATATCCAGCTACTCAGCTGGTGAA